CGCCGCTCTCCGAGGGCAGCAGCGGGGAGGACGGCGACGCGGCCGCCGGCGTCTGCAGGTGGGACTGCGGCCCCGACGCGGAGCCCACGGACGGGGGCCGGGACGAGCCGGCCAGGCTGGGCTGGGAGCGGCGCGTGGGCCGCGGCAGCAGCGCCGCCTCGGGCGACAGCGGGCTGGACATGGACGAGGGCGGCAGGAAGATGTGGGCCTGCAGGCTGTGCTGGTGCGTCAGGGCGATGGCCACGTTGGTGGTGGCGGCRGCCGTCTGCAGCGGCGCGTGCACCAGCGGCTCCCAGATGACCGGCTTGCCGCTCAGCTCCCGGCCCACGGCCACGTGCTGCAGGTCCTGGATGCTGTGGGCCACGTCCTGGTCGTGCTTCACGATCTGCTGGATCATCTCGGTGTTGATGGAGCCCGTGCTGTGCTCGGCTCGCTTGCGCAGMAGGATGGAGTTCTTCTTCCCTGGGGGAGAGGCCGCGGCAGCGCGGTGAGGACGGGCCACCAAAAGCCCCGCCGGTTGAGCCAAGGGAAGCAAGAAGGCGGGAGGAGGAGAGGAGAGGAGCCTCCCAGCTCCTCATCGTGCCCACGCTGTGCCCTGCTGGCGCGCAGGACAGCGGTCCTCACCTATGCGGTCCAGGCGGTCCATGGCGACGGTCTCGAAGGCGCGGCGCATCATGGGGTACTCCTCGAGCACCTCGTTGAAGTGGTCCACCGAGAGCGAGTAGAGGCGGCAGTAGGTGTCCGCCCGCACGCTGGCCGTGCGCCGGCCCCGCGTCAGCAGGCAGATCTCTGAGGAGAGACCAACGCGGGCGTCAGGGCCGCGCGGCCTCCTTCCCAAGGGGCCTCCCGGGAAGGGAGGGACGTCCCCACCCAGCCGCAGCCGCGCTCCACGTGCCCAGCCTCACCCCCGAAGTAGGAGCCATCGGACAGCTTGGTCTCCTTGTTGCCCTTGGTGAGGATGCTGACGACGCCGTGCTGGATGAAGTACATCTTCTTGCCCACGGTGCCCTCGCGGATGATGAAGTCTCCGGGCTGGAAGACCTCGAAGCGCAGCTTGGTCAGCATGGCCGTCACGAAGTTGGGGTCTGCATTGGCGAACAGGGGCATGTTGGCCACCAGGTTGCGGCAGTTGAAGTTGATGATCTCCTGCAGGACGAGGCGGCGGGTGAGCGGGGCCGCGGGCGGGCCGGCCCGGGCGAGCGCGGCCCCCCAGCGCCCGCCCCTACCTCYTTGAGCGGCTCGCTCAGCTCGCCCAGGATGTTCTCCTCATCGAACATCTTGCCCTGGTAGCGGTGCTCGTAGTACTCGTGGATGCGCTGGCGCGTGTCCCCGGGCAGCTTGTGGAAGGACATGTACTGCTCCACCTGCTTGTACTGTGGGGCGGACAGAGCGGCGCCGGTCGGAGCGAGCAGCGGACAGCCCGGCGCCCTCAGGATGCCGGCTCCTCCTCCACCAGCACCGGCTCCTCCAGCACCGGCCACCGACCTTCTCCTGGTACTGGCGCCGCGACGAGTCCAGCGACTGGATGAGCGCGGTGGCGTGGCCGATGAACATGGCGTAGCAGGTGGCGCCCACGATCATGCTGAGCATGGTGAGCCACACGTCGGTCATGCCCTCGGGCGCCTGCTGCCCGTAGCCGATGCACAGCATGTGGCTCATGGCCTTGAAGAGCGCGTGCGAGTACTGCTTGCCCCACGAGTCGTTCTGCAGAGGGGGAACCGCACACCCTGCCCAGGCACCGCGCGGCGGCCCGCAGGGGACAGCGCRTCCGCCGCACGGGACGCCCGCCGCTCGCTGCCGCCGGCTCCGCGTCCTGCCGCACTCACCACCATGCGGTTGATGGAGACCCAGCAGTCGTCGGGGAAGTCCTGCAGCATGGGCACCAGGAACTGCAGGCAGCCGTCCCAGTGGCACAGCAGCAGCATCATGCCGATGAGGTTGAAGATGCGCACCACGGCGCTCGCCAGGTCGTACGTCATGTGGAAGATCTGCGGGAGAGGCGGGAGCGGAGCTGCAGTGAGCAACTCCACACAACTCCATGGAGCTCCACACAGATCCACGCAGCTCCACGCAGCTCCGCACGGCTCCACACAACTCTGCATGGATCCACGTGGCTCCATGCACCTCCATACGGCTCCACATGGATCCATGCAGCTCCATGCAGCTCCATGTAGCTCCGCACGGCTGCACACAACTCTGCATGGATCCACGTGGCTCCATGCAGCTCCACATGGCTCCAAGCAGCTCCATGCAGCTCTGCATGACTCCATGCAGCTCCACACAGCTCCATGTGGCTCTGCACAGATCCACGTGGCTCCCTGCAGCTCTACACAGCTCCATACAACCCCGCATGGATCCACACGGCTCCACGGAGCTCCACACGTCTCCGCGCGGCTCCACGCGGCCCCGCGGGCTCCTCACCTCCTCCCACTGGTGGATGTAGCGGATGAGGCGCGAGAGGCGCAGCAGGCGCAGCAGGCTGAGGATCTTGGTGAAGCGCACGATGCGCAGGGCCCGCGCCGTCTTGTACACGTCCGAGTCCACCTGCGTCTCCAGGTCAACGATGAGGAAGATGTAGTCCACGGGGATGGAGGAGATGAAGTCCACCAGGAACCAGCTCTTCAGGTACTTCATCTTGATGGTGTGCGGGTCCAGGATGATTTCCGTGTTGTCCTCCACCACGATGCCGGTGCGGAAGTTGAGCACCAGGTCGGCCAGGAAGAAAGTGTCGGAGAGGACGTTGAAGACGATCCAGGGCGGCGTGTTCTCGTCCTTGAAGAAGGTGATGCCCACGGGCAGGATGATGAGGTTGCCCACCATGAGCAGCAGCATGATGAGGTCCCAGTAAAACCTGGAGGGCCAGAAGGGGCGTGAGGGATGGAGCGTTGGGACGCGCCGGGACGGGGCAAAGGGAGCTGCTCCGGAGCGCTGGGATCCCGCGGGATCTGGGGGCCTCGCTCCGCGCCAGCACCCCCGGACGGGCTTAGCAGGATTGCGGATTTAGCCGCGGGCGGTTACGCAAGCCGAGGGACCGGGAGGAGGGGAACCGGGGACAACCGGGCGCGGGGGGGAACCGGGAACCGGGCGCGGGGGACACCGGAGGGTCTCGCGGTTCGCCCCCCGACGGGGCGGGCGGG